CTGCGTCCACTGGCATGGAAGAAATCCACTCAATACCGCTCAAAATCTCAGTGTGTGTTTAAAATGTAGAGCAAGAGTGGTCTTCAATATGGTCTGTGATTGCTATGATCATATATATGCACAATTGCCAAAAGCCATTAGGCCACAAATGCCTAAAGTATATATTCAGTGTCATTATAATCATTTTTTAACCCAGCTACAGTCTAGGCAAAGAGAAAGTGTGCGCTTGAGCTTAAATTGTGGATTGTGGGTCAGTGGATTTTAGGTTATGCTCAAGGAGTTAAACTGGGACAGAAAAATCCTAAACGCCATACTGGAACATTTGATTAAATAAAAAAACTAATAAATAAAATAAAATAATTTTTAAACTAAAATTTACAACAATTTACAACAACAAACAACAATAGTAATAGAAATAGAAATAATGATGATTATTATTATTTCCACATGCTATGATAAATAATCATTAATAATTAAAAATTAATAACTAAAACTACAAAAAAATGACATCAATTTTTAATTAATTGCTAAATTTTGAGATTACATTTAAATGTTATTAAATTAATTTCGTTTTTTAAAGGATTAACTTTCAAAAACAGTGAGCATTATATGACAACCAAGATAATTTAAAAGTAAAAATAGAGAAAGTGATCATGCACAATTAAAATATCCCATATTGACTAATACATCTATCCATCAGTTCTCCAAACAGCTTGTCCAAAGATGCTGGAGCCTATCCCAGCATCTTAGGCTGTAGGCATGGGAAAAAAACATGGACGGATGGCCAGTGCATTACAAAACCAACACACAGAGACATACACATTCACACTCACACCTACAAACAATTTACTGTCTCCAATTCATGCAGGACCTTGTCTTTGGATTGTGGGAGAACATCCAAGCTCCACACAGAATGGCCTCATGGTGTTCGATTGATTCCAATACATTAACAACCAATACCCAATACAGTACAGATATATAGTATTTCTAATTGAGATGATTCGGAATGCAAACAGATAGCTTTCTCACAGTATTACAGAACTCCTTGATCAGGACTAGGACTGCATTCATGGCCGGCCACTAAACAGGCCTCATATCAGCACAGCGAGAAACTTGTAAAACACAGTGTTGCAGAATGCGAGACATAATGATTACATCAGGTGAAGGCTGCCCTGCAGCACTCCAGCGTATGTGTTTGTATGCTAGTGTGTTTAGGCCTGTTTTTGCTGAATAAAAGCAGAACAAATTCAGGCTACTGCAGTAAGCTCACCATTCATCATCTTTCATCGACAAGGTGAGAGAACGGCGGAGAGAGAGAGAGTACAGCTCCATGAATAATGGAGAGAGTGTGGTGTGGTCCCAGGGCTCAGAGAATTACTTTCACTTTGCAGCATTTAATCAATGGCTTCAACATCTCGTTCTCTCTCGCTCACCATGTGGTCGGCAGCACATTGCGCAGAGAGTATTACCAGCCCCACAGATAAATCCCGGTGGGATATCTCCAAACTTTCCTTGTACCTTTCCCTCTAAACTCTTTCTCTTCCTCTGTTCCCTTGGACTCTTTGAAATTGCAATGGGAAATTGAAAAAGGCGCAGACTTAACAGCTTACAGTAATCCATTGCCCACTTACTTTCTGCAAAGATAACTGCGAAGGTTAAGCCATTATGCTTCAAAATACAAGAACTCATTTCTTTTTTACAATTGTTGTAGGTTATTCTTGCTTTCCTGGGGTAAACAAATGTGACATTTAACTAATAGCCAACCGTTCTCAAGCTTTTTTTGTTACCTATTTTAGATGATGGCAAGAAGATTGAATAGACACAAAGCAAAATAGATGCCCACTGATGCCTCTAAGAAATGATAAATTCACTTCATAGTTGACTTCACAAAAACATCTCCATGACAACTGAGCTGGTGAAGACCTTATAAAAATACATCAGCGCCCAGTATAATGTTCCCGTTTTGTTTGCAAGCTTTTCCACAGCACTAGTGAGTTCAGGAGTTTCAGAGCAGACAATCCAGCGCCTGAGGAAAGGGGCAGCTGGATCACATCTTTGTTTTGGACGCCTGGCTGGAGATGGAAAAACTCTGTGCCCCCTGGGTAAACTGACTTCCAGTCCAGCACTGAAAAGATTGGTATGGAGTGTAAATTGGTCATATACTGTACAGCATAGACAGGGTCACGAGTTCAAACTGAAGGGCATGTGCTTCCTCATGTTTCTGAGCAAAGTGGGTTTTTGAATGCAACTTCCTAAAAATTATTTGTATCTTTGTTCAGACAGGCAGAATATATATATATATATTGGAGTAGAGCATCTCTCGCAACATCCTCTGAGACAGTGGGCACCCTGTCAGTAAGTGTGCAAATAAATAAATCTATATGCATTGTTCAGTATAAAAAAATAATGATGTTCTTTTCACATCAAATGTAGTATGAATATGTTTTTATGTTTGTAACTTCCTACAAAAAATGAAAAACGATATTGTACCTACATGACATTTGGAACTGAGGCATTCTTGTCATTTTCAGGCTTAGGGACAAAGTCTGGCGGAGGAGGACAGATTTGATCTGTACCGTCTATGAACAAGAACAACAAAAATGTCAAATGGAAAAAAAATAAAAATAAAAATAGGCATTCAAGACATAACATTGATATAAGGTCATATACAGCATACTATATTTACATGATTTTACAAGATGTTAAATATTCACCAATTTTACATTTTTGACCAATACTGATATTTTTAAGCATCCTATAACCGGTATGCAAAAGCAATTTTTAATTATTTCTGAATTTTCACACAATAACTAAATGGCCATTATACAACAACAACAACAACAATATTAAACATATAAAGATATATATATATATATATATATATATATATATATATATAATACACACATACACACACACACAAACAAAGAAAAACAAGTAGATAGAATAGAAAAAATAGAAAGCTTTTTTTTTTCAGGTTTTGATTGTTTTTTAAATGTTGTATCTTAAGCTCACCAAAGCTGCATTTGTTTGATTAAAAATACTGTAAAAACAGTTACATTGTAAAGTTTTATCTTTCAAAACAACACTTTTCTATTTTTATATAGTTTGATTTGATGCATGCTTGCTGATTTAATGTATTAATTTCTTAAAACAATAACTAAATAAATAAAATTCTTACTGACCTCAAACTTTTGAACAGTAGTGCATGTTTGGTTGTTGTTTTTTTATTTTAAAAAGTTCACACATTTCATGTTCTTATTGGTCTAAAGTCTAATTTAATTTTTTGTTCACATTGTGTCTTAGTCTGAGCTTAGTTAGTCATTCAGGTCATAACATGCAACATCAAACAAAATGCAATATTTCAGATGTTATTTTCACTACTCTTTCCTCATGTTGTGAAATATGTGGCATTGACTATTAGGTGACTGAGTGAAAGTGTCAGTGGCTACATTGGATACAGTTTATGCATGAATGCATAAAATGCCTCGCGTATGTAGTCTCATGCACCACAGCGAGATGTCATGAAGGACACGAGCAGAAGCAAATATTCCTGTTTTCCATTCTCTCTTTCCACACTGACAGCTACTCTCACTTGTTGTACTGTATAAAAAAGTATCTTGGTATCGTGCAGGTGTTACATCATCACTATAGCAACCGATGTACTGTAGATACACCTGATGCAGCCTACACTGTCTGTACAAACAGATCCGATTGCATCACTTGCAACTAGACAGTCAGTACTAAAGAAAAGTACTTTATATATATTTAAAAAAAAGTATATATATATGTATATATATATCATCACTGTTTTGATATTAAGCAGCACAAATGTATGTAATAACAAGAATTTTTTTCTTGAGCACAAAATCAGCATATTAGAATGATTTTTAAATTGAGTCAGGACTGGTAAAATAATAATAATAATAAAATAATAATAAAAATAATAATGCCCCCAGATAAGGTCACACAGATATACTAAAAACAATCTCTAAAATAAAACATGGTTAAACTTTAAATATAAATAGTACATATTAAATGGATAGCTCGCCCAAAAATAAAAATGAATCACCCTCATGTCATTCCAAACCTGTATGACTGACTTTCTTCATGTGGAACACAAAAGACGACATTTAAAAAAATGTTTTAGTGTTTTTTTCATTGTGATTTTCTTTTTGGACCCCATTGACTTTCATTGTTTGGACCAAAATGTGGAAACTTTCTTCATAATATCTTCTTTTGTGTTCCACAGAAGAAAGAAATTCATTCAGATTTTAAATTACATAAAGATCATTTTGGGGTGCAATATCCCTTTAAGACACCCTGAACTAACTGATGACTTTAATACATTAAGCCCAACGAACATTAATAAGGGACGTGACACCAGTAGATTGAGGACTGATTACCACAATGGCTGGCGTTCTTGCGTGGATGTGCTATACATTACCTGTACAGACACGTAAAGTGCTTTTCAATTACTGCCAACGTGACATTTTAACAGTTCATTATCTTCGTTAGATTACAGCTACCTAAAACAAGCTTAGTTTTGAGCACATCTGAATTCAGTAAGGAATTTACTGTATCAGTGATCATTTGCACAGTCTGATCCTGGATCAGTTTGGAAACACTGAGAATCTCCTCCGTGAATTAACTTGTATTAGATTAATCAGCCGCGTCTCTTTATTTGCCTTTGGGAGATGCTAACTGTACCCCCTTCAATCCTCAACAGACACCTCAGGTTTAAGATCAGTACACACATTTACACACACACAAATCCTCAAACACCGAAACGACGTCGACGCCAAGCACAGTGAATTGTTGCACTGACAGACATGTCAATTTATAGTCGAGCGGGAATATAAAGAAAACCGCCGCTCAGATCATAATAAAAACATGTAAATGTACGACAGACGTTTGAAAACAGACACACATATTGAGGTTGTGAAACCCGCGACTAATGACATGTCTTACATTAGGGCTCGGATCTGGACGTGTGCGAAATTCTCTTGTGTCTGTCATCTTCCACATCTCTTTTCCGTGTTGTTTATTCATCTTTGTGGTGATGGGAAAACACAAAGCCACTGATCCATGTCCAAAGCTGACAGAAATGGAACAGCCTCATGGCATTATCCTCTTGAAGAAAACTAAAAAAAAAAAAATGGTAAAAGTGGAGGAAAAGAAGAGGGAGATTTAGGGGTTTAAAATGAGAAAAGATAGGGAGAGAGAGGCTGAATAAAATTAAATGGCTTTAAAATAACTCTACTGAATTGTTATATATAGTCATTTTTGTATTACATTTTGTATATGTAGACATATGTCTGATCTGAATTGAACCGTAGGCACAGCATTCAGAATATAGCATATAATTCCACATGAAGAATTACCTGGAAGAACATATGTCTTCACAAGCAGCGTGCCGCAATGACTGTAAAACCTGCAGTGATAAAAAGCATAGGCATATCAAAGATACAGCACCATGACTCAATCCAATACTGGGAAGAAATATTGTAACTGCCTTATTTACGGTTTATCTCCATTTTTTGAGCACTTACTGTTGAGTCAGACTGGAAATATAAAAATGAGAGAGCAGGAGTTTTTAAACTGGGTTCCAGAGGTCACAGAAAATGTGAGAAAATAAAAATATGTAACAAAATGTTGTTTTTTGGGGCTGTCGACTTAACTTACAAAAACAAATATAATACTCTACCATTCAAAAGTTTGGGATTTTAAAAATGTTTTTCAAAGAAGTGTTTTATGCTTGCCAAGGTTGCATTTGTTTGATCAAAAATACAGAAAAAACAGTAATATTGTGAAATATTACTATAACTTAAAATAACTGTTTTCTATTTTAATATATTTTAAAATGCAATTTATTCCTGTGATGACAAAGCTGAATTTTCAGCATCATTACTCCAGTATTCAGAGTCGCATGATCCTTCAGAAACCATTGTAATAATATGCTGATTTAGTGCTTAAGAAATATTTCTTCTTATTATCAATGTTGAAAACAGCTGTGCTGCTTAAAATTTTTGTGCAAACCTTGATTAATTTTTTTCAGGATTCTTTTATGAATAGAAAGTTCAAAAGAACAGCATTTATTTGAAATAGAAATCTTTTACAACATTATAAATGTCTTTAGTGTCACTTTCAATTAATTGAATGCATCCCTGCCGAATAAAGTATCAATTTCTTTCCAAAAAATATCTTAATGAATGGTAGCGTAGACATTAAAAATGTCAATGCAATATTTTTTTGCATGTCTCTTTGAAATTATATTTATTGTGAAAATTACAATAAATATTTTATCGTATTGTATTTTGTTGACAATTTACAAATAAATGTTTCTGTGATATTGTTTATTTTTATGCTAAATTTTCTAACATGAATTGTGTGCACACAAAAAAAGAAAAACTAAATTATATTTGTGAGTTAAAAAGTTTGAAAACCTGATGTGATGCAAAAGCCACTTCATGTTGCCTTCATATATTCATGACACTACAAAAATCATGCTAAATAGTTATAACATAAATACATCATTTGGATTAAAAGCTATTGCTGATTCTGGTGACTAATTAAATAACTGACACAAATCTATACTTTTTCTTTCTCACACACATACGCACCCCACAAAGACACAGAACATTGGTCACACAAAAGTCCAATTTGTCAGCAAGGCTGGATCAGTCTGTCTGTGTGACAATTTGCAAACCGGCGTCGCTCCATGCTACACGGCTCCCTCTGTTCCAGCGGTTCCACTCATCCATGGGATTACAGAGGAGCTGACGGGAAAGCAGAACGAGAGCTCAGACACTGCCAAAGGCTGAAGAGACAAAAGACCCCAGAATAATAGATACACACACTGAAAGTTGGTAACTGAGGATTCTGCAACTACTGTAAATTTCGGGGAAGCCATAGTGCTTACAATTGTTCACAGGAGTCGTATCACGACCAATCGTTAATTGTGGGGACATTTATAGCTTTCCTACATTTAAAAATGAAAATTACACCTAAAAATTATCATTTACTCACCCTCATGTTGTTCTTAATCAGTGTTGTTTTTGTTAACTAAAACGATTAAACTAATAAGTAATAATAATATAATAATAGTTTCAGTAATTAAAGTGAAATAAAATAAAATATATTACATGAACATTTATATAAATATTACAGTTAAATGAAAATGCTGCCTTGTCAACTAAACTAAACTAATAAAAATGGCAAAAGCACATAACAAAATTACTAAAACAAACATTTTAACTGAAAATATTAAAATGAATTCCAAAAAGGAAAAAAGTACTCTCATGTCATGAGATCTAAGCTTAGAAAAGTGGAGGCATCTCTTATGTATTCTGCCACAACCAAACTTCTCTCACTGAACACATTTGTCTACTTGTCAACTAAACTAAACTAATAAAAATGGCAAAAGCACATAACAAAATTACTAAAACAAACATTTTAACTGAAAATATTAAAATGAATTCCAAAAAGGAAAAAAGTACTCTCATGTCATGAGATCTAAGCTTAGAAAAGTGGAATACATCTCTTGTGTATTCTGTCACAACCAAACTTCTCTCACTGAACACATTTGTCTACCCAAGCAGGTGAAGTCAAAGCCTCTGCCACAACCTCTTAATCCAGTTGAGGAGTGCCACTTTATGTGGCTTTATGCAGCTGACAGAAAGCAGAGAGTGACTCTTCTTGTCCTTAAACTGCAAAGTTTTGCATTAATCCTCCTGTTGGAGGGAAACAGAGAGGACATGAGACATATTGTTCTTGAAAAAGAGGGAAAGAACAGAGAAAAAAAAAAAACGTAAACCTTCTCTTAAAAGAGATGTGTTCCGCCTATATAAATAGAGGCCATTCGGTCTGCCTCGCCGCCAGCTCCGTTTTATCTTTTGTCTTCTCCCTTCTCCCTTGACTTCTCCGTGAACCCTGCATCTTTCGAGACGTCTTCAAATCTTTTAAGAGTATTCGGGATATTCCTTGTATTTTGACACTTCCTCTGCCTGTTTGCTGGCTTTATCTTGTTAGTCCTTCGCTACCCCTGCTCTCCCGCATCTTTTTGTCCTTTTCCTTTCCCCTCAGCAATCGCTAAGTACAGAAAACAAAGCATGGAAAGTGAACGCATAAGAGCAGAAATAAAGAGCAAGGCCATAAATGCGATCAAGTGCAGACTTGAAGAAGTAAACAGCTTATTTGTCAGGCGTTTCGCCGCTCTGATCTTCTGCAAGGTCTCCTACTTGAGTTTTCTCTGTTGATTTCCTGCCTCTCCGTGTGATGAATTCATGCAGCAAAGGGCCGATGAATAAATAAACAAGTCAACAATCCCTTTTGTTCAGGGATGGGAGGCTGGAGTCCTGTAAGAGGAGTGCAGTTTTATTGGGAGAAAATGTGCTGTTTCTAATGCTGCCTAAGCCCTTAAGCTGCTCATTTCAAGGCTATTGTTACCTTACCATTGTGTTTTTCCCTCCATCTCTCCAGCGCTCTTGCCTACGCAGAGGAATGAGGGCAGTTCGTGGCTATGGGTTCGAGGTAAGGTGAAAGGCATGCTGGGATATCCCAGAGTGGCCAGTGTGATAGAGGATGATCTACTGAGGTTGAGCTTAAGATTCAATAAGAGTGCCTCTTGAGGTTCAGCGGTTTAACACAGACGCATATGGACATGCACACACAAATACACACTCACTCACGCTCTCCTTTAATGTGCGTTTCGCTTGTTCTCTAGTATCCTCATACCGCATCAAAGCATGAAAGGGAGAAAGAGAGAGAGGGGAACGAGAGCTCCAGATGGTCTGAAAAGGAGAGGTCCAAGGTAGGACATTAGCATGGAGAGGAGCAGACACAGATTACGGGAAAGAAGAGGCTCTCGCGAGTCCTCTTGCCAGTTTCCTTTCCATCACTTTCAGACTCACTGCAATTATTGTGTTTATGTGGAAAAGAATATTCTGATTAATATATTTGGCATATTCCTGTATTAACCTGAATAACAGTGTCATGTAAACAGAATGTTCAACTATACAGAACATTCAGTTATATAAGTGCAACTACCATTCAACAATAAATAAATAAATAAATATTCAGCAAGGATGCATTACATTGATTAAATGTGACAATAAAGACATTTGCAAAGTTGCAAAAGATTTCTATTTCAAATCTGTTCTTTTGAACATTCTATTCATCAAACCATCATGAAATCCTGAATGTATAACAGTTTCCACTAAAAAATTAATGTCATGCATAGTAGTTGAAAGAGACGACGATGAAGAAGATTAAGTAAAAAGTCTTTATTAGCACACTCAGAAGGTAAATCTAACAAAGAGAGACGCGAAAGTACAACTCATGCACTAACGACACCTGAACTCTGAAAAGACTGCAACTTAAATACCAAGCAAATGAGGGAAATAATGATAAAAACCTCTGAGATTAAATGAATCACCATGACAACAGATAAGTAAATGGGAAAACTGAACAAATGAGGAAGACAGGAAACTAATGAGAAGAAACTAAAAGTCCATGATAATGAAACTACCCAAATAGATTCGTGACAATTAAGCACAACCGTTTTCTACATTTATAACAATAAGAAATGTTACTCGAGTTCATATTAACAATGATTTCTGAAGGAACATGTGATACTGAATATTAGAGTAATGGCTGTTGAAAATTCAGCTTTTGCCATCGCAGTAAAAACATTACATTTTAAAATATATTAAAATAGAAAACAGTAATTTTAACTAATACTAATAAATTAAAATAAAATAATTTGAGTTATTTTAAACTAAAGTATTTCACAATATTGATGTTTTTTTTACTGTAAGGTGTCCTCAATGAGCATAATAGATTCGTGACAATTAAGCACAACCGTTTTCTACATTTATAACAATAAGAAATGTTACAGTTTTTGAACAGCAATGTATGGTATATTTATTCATATATGTACAAATATATGCTAAAAACTTTACCAAAACATATAGACCATAACCAAAATATTAGGACCATATTCTAGTGCATATAAATGCTGTCAATTAATAACTGCATTTATATACAGCAGAATATTCTATTATTAATTAGAATTTCTGATTTTAAGCCAATGTTATGGATTTTAGATCATGTACTATAAATATCCACTGTAAATTATTTTTTAAAAAATCATTTTTATCTGCATGTCAAAATAAAGGTAATTATGTGTGTTATTAGATACAGACAGTTTTTACTGACATTTTACAATCATTTAAAAAAACAGCATTTTGAAAGTCTCATGACCTACTTTTTGTAATTCATCATCTTTTTGTGTGTTATTGTAGGGACATGAATGAGATGATTAAATTAATGTTCAAAATGACCAATAAATGTCATATTAAATGGAAAATTGAACATTACTACATGAGAGTCAGTCGCTGGGCCTGAGAGATGATGCCATTGCATGAGAGACAGACATAGAGGATGAGCACACAGGGGTGAGGGGTGAAGGGTGAGCACCTCCTCCCACCCACAGCACCGCCGAATTCACCACAGCGAGAACCTCAGCTCAAAAGCTCTGCCAATTCCAACGCAGAGTGGGGTGCTTTACTACCGTACTTCAGATTAAGGAGCAGACAAGAACAAGAATTGGAGCAGACAAGAATGGTGGTAGGGCTGATCATAGCTTAGTGGTTACAAATCTGGGCTGGTAATCTGAAAGTTGCTGGTTCAAAACTTGAGAAGAAAGAATACCATTTGTACACACAGATAATGAGCACATAGTATTTGTTTCGGATTGTCAATAAGTTCACACTATATATATATATATATATACTGTGTGTGTATACGTATATATATATACGTATATGAAAGCTGTCCAATCTGGTTCAGACAATATATTTATTTATTTTGTATCTTTAGGTTGGTAGGTGTTAAAAATGACAGATTCTGAGATACGGACTCTCAACTAGAGCTGCACGATTCTGGATAAATTGAGAATAACGATTTTTTTTGTTTCAAATAGAGATAACGATTATTCCACGATTCTGAGCTAAGCAAAATAACATGTAATTAATTACTAATTACTAAACGCTGTGACAAAATATTAATTGCCTCATTCTATAATTTTTTTTTTAATTTGAATGAATTATTTAAAAAGAATTTTAATGAATAACTGAATGACTCCCTCACAAACAATTCATTTGTTATGTATGAATCATCGTTTTTGAATGAATCTCTTGAATAAATGATTCAATGACAAATAAATGTTTAACAGTCACTTGTTGCCACCTAGTGGCAAAACAATTTAATCAACACTGTAATCAACAAACGTTATTTGAAGTAAAAATCACTTTCAAATGATAATTTGTCATAAATCCATCAAGACTTCACTTGTTTCATTACTGTATGAATCATCGTTTTTGAATGAATCTCTTGAATAAATGATTCAATGACAAATAAATGTTTAACAGTCACTTGTTGCCACCTAGTGGCAAAACAATTTAATCAACACTGCAATCAACAAACGTTATTTGAAGTAAAAATCACTTTCAAATGATAATTTGTCATAAATCCATAATTTTGCTGAAACAAAAGCAGAGGAACAGTGAAAGTCGAGGTGACAATGAGGAAACCCACAAATGTCAGAACATCCACGCACTAAGCAGAACTTCATTATAGGGCATGTCAATCTGTTCTCAATGTGACACTAAAACCGCCAGGCCTCGACCTTGGTCACCTACACAGGAACAGAGTCTGTTGAAAATGTATGAAAGTATGTGTATGTTTGTGAGTGTGTGACAGCTCCCATA